TTTATCCACCAAAAGTAAGTTCGAAGAAGTTGGAAGTTCCAACTTGGAAGTTCCAATAAGTTGGAAGAAGCTGACACTGAAGAAATGCTGAACACTGATAATGATGAACCCATCGTGCGTTCTTTCAGTGATGGGGAAATTACTGAGATGGTGTTAAGTACAGATAAGTATGAAAATAGTAGTAATAATGATAATGATTACATGAGCGCCAGTGAAAAAAATCTCCAAAGAGCATATGGTGAAAATGTGACTGATTAATTGCTAGCCTTGAACAATGTGCATCTGTCAGTGAGCAAGAGATCATGGCAGTTTATTCAATTAGAGAGAAACTGCTTAGACCGAAACCTACGTTTAGGAGACCAGTGACACTGGGGAAAGTCTGTAGAAAGTCCCCTTGTGGTAATGCCTCTTTGTCACTTGAGAATCCCATCTGTGGCTCATCCTCAGATGTCCAGCCCCGGCCTGGTTTCACAGATAATACTAACCCCTTCTTTAAGATTCTCAAACAACCAGAAGTGATGAATATTTCTTGCCTGTGTTATAGGTTAGTTTTCATCAATATAAATTTAAAGTTTTACTAAAAAATATTTATCATAAGCGACAAAAGAAATTAGAAGCTTAAGTACTTATGGTCTATATTTATCCTGCTATTCCATTTACCCAATAAATTTATTTACCAACAAATTTCATTTGCCAATAAATTTATTTATGTAAATAAATTATAACATTATTTATGGACTTTATTCCACTTGTGAGAATTTTCATACATTTCTCTGTAGAAATACTGTGTTCCATAACCATTTAGAATGTTACAAAGTTAGTAGTATATGCACCATATTCCAAATTTCTTTTTAAATTCCAAAAAATTCCCATTTCCAAAACACATCTGGTCCCAGGATTTTGGATAAGAGAATGTGGGCCTGTAATACCTACCTTAGAGATTTGTTGTGAAGACCCAATAAGATAATTAATATAAAATGCTGGCACAGAGTAAATGTTCATTAAACAGAGTAATTGCTGTTACTACTATTCCATTCCCCTACTCTTTTTTAAAATTTTTTATTGTTATGTTAATCACCATACATTACATCATTCATTTTTGATGTAGTGTTCCATGATTCATTGTTTGTGCATAACACCCAGTGCTCCACGCAGAACGTGCCCCCCCCAATACCCATCACCAGCCTAACCCATCCCCCCACCCCACCCCCCTCTAGAACCCTCAGTTTGTTTTTCAGAGTCCATCGTCTCTCATGGTTCGTCTCCCCCTCCGACCCATTCCCCTACTCTTCAAAGGAAAATGTAGGACAAGGTCTTTTTGAAGTTAATAAGTTGACCTTGCATGGGTAATAATAAGCATTTTTCAAATTTTATCACCCTAAGAGATCCTTTGGCAATATGCCGCTGATATGGACCAGAGTATCTCGTAAATCTTCATCCAAGAGATCGAAGCATTTCCCAAATTGGAGGATAGAAAAATGTTCTGCTACAACAAGCTACACTGTGGTTTATAAAATACATATACCTATCACCAGTTAGCCTTTATTTTATTCGACAAAGAAACATAATTGCTTATCTGCCTGCTAACCATTTCCTCAGCTCCCTCTGCTATAAACACCCCATAAACAATGATTTAATCTTCCTTGTGAGCAAGGATTTATTCTTAATCCTCTGTGTACACACCCTCAGCTGCTGTTGTAAAACCTTGAACATAGCTGAATAAATAAAACTGGCATTCTGTTTTACAAGTAAAGTTTGCTTTATGAATTTGTAGTGTCTATGAGATTTATTGCTTTCATTATAAAAGGAATATAATAACTACATAGAATATATGGAAAATATTACTTATACTTTATAAAAAGAAAATAGATTCTTACAACCAGTGATAATCACTCTTAATGTTTGTGTCCTTTCAAAGCTATCTATTGTCCTAAACTGTGAACCTTGTGAGAGTAGGAACCGTGTGCATTCATTCTTGTGCTCCATTTTACACTCTGCACCTCCCAGCAGCAGGTATTTAACAGATTTAAAGAAAACCCACATATTCAAGGACCACGCTATATCCATGGTGGGGGTGGCAGGGTTTGTGAGGCGGTTTGGCCATGTTATTTTTAATTAACACTATATTGGGAGCATTTTCCCGTATCTGTCTTATTTGATCCCACCAAATCTGATTTCCTACTCATTCAGCTTATCCTCTTTACTTCTGGGACTTGCTACTCCCCAGCCCTGGGACACATTATCCTGCAGCCCCTCTGCCTGACCAGCCTTCCTTTCCCTCTTGTCTTCACAGCTCTTCCATCACAACTGCGCCTCTTATTTCCCATTAGCTCACGGCCCAGCTCTCTCCTAGCTGCTCTTGCCATCATGTGAACCCATTTATAACCTGACTGGCGATTGCTTCCCATTCTCCACTGAGCATGGCTGTTGGATGGGGGTGAGCTAAAGCTGTGCAGGAGAGGCCTGAAATGGAGAGAGAGTCTCAGTGGGGAGGCAAACAGCAGCAACTCCATCCTTGGGTAGAGAGGAGAAGGGTGGGCTCTCTGTCCTCAGTATTGTCTAATCTTATAGGATTAGTCACCAAAACAGGTGTGAATTGACAAACGCCTGGAGTCACTGTTCTGCCCTGGAAATCTCAGCCAGGCACACGATTAATTAATACAGAAGCCACCAGAAGACAATAAACTGTGTATTGTGAGCCAGACCATAGGAACTAGGCTTATGTATTTAAATTTGTGGACCCTATTCCTATGTCAGGCTTTTTCTGTCGTTCTTACAAAATTCTAATGAAAGATCGTATTCTCCTTCCTCTCCCAAATAATATGCTTTACATTAGCTGTTAATTTATCTAGGGATAGTAAGAAAAAATATCATCTATCTTTAGCTTTCTAAAATGTTACCCTCAAGAGGCTAGGTGTGATCTGAGGTTTTTTTGTGTTTCTCTTCATTCTAAGCAGCATTAATGGGTCCTTTCATTGGGAGTTTCATGTCTTTCATTGACAATGAGATATTTCATCCTTCTATTTTTCTTTAGTATTTCCTCTCCTCCATTCCTTCTATTCTCTCCTTCTGGAACTCCTTTTTGATTTTCTTCAAATGTTTGGTGATTCTTCGTTGTGTCATGTTTGCATTTTCAATTGCCTGTTAGCCTGCCTACATGTCTGCGTACTTACCTGTTTATTGTTTTCTGCTTCCTGCGGTTCTTGGGAAGAGGTAGGACACACTGCCAGATTGGGTAGATCATTAGCAATCTCTCTGGGCCTGGGAACTCCTGTTTTCTTTTGGGGTACATATGCCTCTTGGGTACTACCCTGCTGGTAATGCCCAAGTGGTCCTTTTCACAGGAATTGTCTTTTCTGTTTGCTGCATTGCACAGGTGGAAGGAGGAACTTGATTGTTCCTTCTGCTGTAATGTTACTCAGATCATACTAAATGTTGGATTGGGACTGTCTCCTGCTCCCCATATCCACTTTCCCCAAGCTTGGAGCAATACTGAAGCCTCTCTCACGATTTATAGGTGTCCTCTTCATTAAGGTTGGACAGTGGTTCCCTCCTTCTGTGTCATCCCAATTCTGCTTTCTGTCTTTCAGCAGTTCCCCCAGAATTTTTGGTTCATTTAGAGTAATTCATCTTGTAAGTCAGCATCATCTTCAGATATTATACATATTGACATATATACTTTATAGATAATATATATATTTACATATATACTTTAGTTTTAGGGTTTAGTCCAGGAAAGGAAGTCTAAAGAACATGTGTTTGTTTTTACTGCCATCTGGATCCAGCATCGTTGTGGAAGTTCTCAAACATGTTTAACAGACATACTACACTTCAGATAAAATCATTTGTAGAGGATCAATATATTAAGCAGGTAAAAGCAAAACTCATCTAGTTGAAGTAGAGAAAGTGACTGTGAATATGAACTCACTGGAATCCCTTTCACTCTCCACTGCAGCTCCTGAACCTCCCAGGGAATCTTGCAACTCTGCAGAACAGTTTAGAAACCACTGACATGATTTATAGTCAGAGGTGTCTGACCTGTAATAGGTTCTTAATAAATGGTAGCCATCATTATTACTACTATTAAAAACCTTGCCTCTCGACCTTCCCCAGTCCCAGGCCTTCCAGAAGTCCTGGTACTAACTTCTACCATTTGTACTGGAAGTCCCATCTTGGTGAGAAAAAAGTAAAAAAAAAACTATTTCAGAGAATCAGCAGCAAGTGAGCACCTAGTAAATATGTGTTAAGTGTTCTCCCGGGCCTCACATTTTAACCTTGCTTAATCCCCTCAATGACCTATGAGGCAAGTGTTTTGATCTCCAGGACCTGATGAAGAAATAGAGGCTCAGACACACGTAGAAGGATACATACAATACCAAATATGTAAGAAGTGTCCATTTATTTTATTTTTTTCAATTTAATTCAAACCAGCTCCTAGCACAATTCCACTGCAGTGTCAGGAAATGACATCTAAACCGTTCAGGGGCTTTCCTCGCAGGTTTCTGGATCTTGGCCCATGTACCAAAGCATGGAGAAGGCCTGTCCTCTCTTCCGTCTTTCATGTGCACAAGAATCTGGTAGATGCCTGTTTTCTGTACCAGAAAAGTTTCCTCTGGATTGGGACATGCCATGGCTCTGTGTGATGTAGGATGTCGAGGATCTTTGAGAGGCTGGGGCGCCAGTCCCTAGGATTCAGTATTTCAAGATACACCTCACTGCACAGCCATCCTCCCTGAACACTGGCTTCCTCCTCCAGCCTCTGCACTGAGCGCAAGCAGATCTCTCTGGAAGAGACCTCTTTCCCCCCAAACACCCTTTTTTTAGTGACAGGGAGGTATTTGTCCCTTCCTTCCCATTGCCCTCAAAGAGTCTCCATTTCTCCTCTCCTCCTAAGGACACCTGGCAGAATCTAGCAGAATTTGAACTTCTATAAAAGAAAAGCTGCTCCAGACTTCCTGGCCTTGGGCAGTAGCTGGCAACTGTCGTCATTCCATGCGATCATGTCTTCGTCTACGGCACAGCTGCTGAGGGGCCTGACAGGTCTCACCCAGAGGCTCCCGGTGCAGCGTGCCCAGATCCATTCCAAGCCTCCGCGGGAGGAGCTCGGGACCATGGATGCTGCCGTCAGGCTCACCTCCTGCTTCCTGTGTTTCCTCCTGCCATCGGACTGGGTCCTGTCGCATCTGGAGAGCTACAAGAAGTGGGAGTGAAGGGGGCTGTCCTGTCCCTCACCCTGTGACCTGACCACCCCTGGCCTCTCCTGATCATGCCTGCTGCATCCCTGGCTGGTCTTCCCAGGATCATGTCCTTCGATTACAATGACCTCTTCTGCAGTCAGGAGCTCTCCATTTCTCCATGGTGACATCCTGGGACCACATATATTGGTTTATAAGGCCCAACTCGGTAGGGCCCTCCTTGTAACAATAAAGTCTATTTAGACCTTGAAAAAAAGGAAAAAGAAAGAAAAGCTGCTCCGTGGAAATGTCTGCTTCCCTTGTGCAAAGAAACGCTGAGGCAAGAAAATACCAAGAGTCTTCTTAGCAAGGGAGTGGTGAGCACAGGATATGGAGAATATGAAAAATTGATTCTCAGTGAATATTCCTGCCGCAAAAATTGGGTAACTGAACAATCCAAAGCACACAGCAGTAAGAGACAGAGCTGGGATTCACATCCCGTTCAATAGAACACATATGTACTCCTGGTGCGGCAAGGCAGGCGCCCAGGGCAGGGGAGAACGACAGCCGCAGATTCCAGCTGAGAGTGGCCCCCTGGCTACTCTGACGGAGATCGCCAGGGGACGAGATCCTGCGACATGAGTCTTAACAGAGATGGGTTGGCAATCCAAACCCACACCTATCTCACCCACAGAGGGACATTCCATCATCTTACACTGATAAACACCGTGTGTCCTGAGGATAGAATCCAAATTATTCTAATCTTGGAATTTCCATATGGTTTATGCTTATGTAAAGCTGTGCTTGCCAGAAACCCAGTGACAGTACTGTCAAAGAGCATTTAAATGGAACAAACCTAGGCAGCTTTGAAAACAGTAATACATGCATTAGGTAAGGGAGAAGTAAAGGAAATGACTTTGTACACATGGGTGTGCTTTCAGGAGATTCTTGAATTATATTCCTTTGAACAATAATTCCATTTTTCTAGATGGAAGACTTACTTTAATCCTGTTTCAACCAAGAATTTTATTTTGTTCTAAATTAATTTACTTGTGATTTTTTATTACTCAGAAATCGATTTTTTAATGACTAAGGAGTTAAATCACTGAGAAAACAGCCCCTGAGTTTTGGATCTATCTTGATTTTTATATTTACAGTAGAATTTTTATATTGACCTCAACTGTCAAAAACACGTTAAAAATAAAAAAGTGAGGATGGGGGAGGTGGAATGAGCCCTTTGAACAGCCAAAATAGGGTTTGTAACATTCAGGTTTTCATAAGTGAGACCCTTGGACCCACAATCTTTGTGTTTACCACAGTTCTGAACATCTCAGACTAAACATCTTAAACATGTCATATAAATTATGGAAAAAATTCAAGAAGACTGAAAGTACAAAGAAAAACTCTCCTGAAGATCTATCGCCCAAAGAATACCACTGTTCACGCTTTCATCTCTTTCTTTTGGGGTGTTGTCTACATATGTTTCACACTTCCACCATCCTTACTTTTGCCTGTTTCTTTCGCAGTCATGGGCTACTGTTGCATTCTCTTTTTTGCCTACTGTTTTTTTTTTCAAGATTTTATTTATTTATTTATTTGAGAGAGCCAGCACAAGTGGGGGGAGGGGCAAAGGGACAAGCAGACTCCCTGCTGAGCAGGGAGCCAGACACAGAGCTCTATCCCAGGACCCTGAGATCATGACCTGAGCTGAAGACAGATGCTTAACCATCTGAGCCACCCAGGCACGCCTGCTTTCTTTTTTTTTTTTAATTTATTCATTTATTTTAGAGAGGGAGTGTGTGTATGAGTGTGTGCACATGCAAGTGGGGAGAGGGGCAGTGGGAGAGAATCCAAGCAGAGTCCCCACTGAGCTTGGATCCCCCTGCAAGGCTCAATCTCATGACCCGGGTGATCATGACCTGAGCTGAAATCAGGAGTCGGGCACTTAACCACCTGAGCTACCAGGTATATAGCTTTCTTTTTCTATAAATTTGACTTTAGATAACTCGTATAAATAGAATTCTACCCCTGGCCTCTCTTTTCGTGACTGACTTATTTCACTTAGTATAATGTCCTCAAGGTCCATCTATGTTGTAGCTTGTGACAGGG